CCCTAGCAGGTAGGAAAGATTGCCATCTTTTCTTTTCACCCTGGCAGACATCAACTGATGGCCTTTCTAGCCATGACAAACAACACCAGGTCCACCATACCACTCTTTGGTTGCTCAATTTTCCAAGCAGTGACCTCCACCCCCACCCCACCAAGAACAAAGAGAACTCTGGTCTGAGTGTGCGCGGCCTGGCTACTGTCCAGGTAATGAAAATAAAGACAAGATGGGAAGACCTCCCCTGGTTCAGACCTGCTCTCCTTCTTTTCTTTCCCCTCATTCCTAGCCCAGGCACTCTGGAGTTGCCTAAAAGTCTGGTTTGAGTCTTGGGGAGAGAAGGGGAAGGGGGCAAATTCCCTCTGTTCTCCTTAGTAACTGTTGTAACCCACCCCGGCTAAGCAAAAGCTTTCTCTGCTCCAATCAATCCCCCTTTCCAATGAAGAATGGACCAGTTGGCAAATACAGGGGTGGGGAGAAGATGGGTGCTTTCCATTTAAAGACCAGTACACCCAAATTAACCTCTACCTTTCAACAATTCCATTTGGAAAGTGGGTCCAGCTCAAAGTGAGAGGAAATAGGACCACAAAGCTCAAGAGAAGATTTAATAAGTCATGTTAGCTAAAGGGGGGATCCCAAAACTGAGCTCCATTTTTTTTTTATCAGTTGCAAATACTGAGCATTCTTTTAAACGTGCATACGTGCTCTTGCTCTCGCGCTCGCGCTCTCTCTCTGTCTCTCTCTCTCTCTCTCTCTCTCTCACACACACACACACACACACACACACACACACACACACACACACACATGATAGGCCAGAAAAGACACTTTTGCTTCCCTCTCCAAATCATATATTAACCAAGGACTTGCGGTCAAGGAACGAAGGATTTACTGAGTGCCTATTATGTGTCAGGCACTGTGCTAAGAACTTTATATTATCTAACAACAACCCTGTGAGGTGGGTGCCTTTATGATCACCACTTTATAGTTGAGGAAACTGAGGCAGACAGAAGTTTGATTGACTTGCCCAGGGTAACCCAACTACTAAGTGTCAGAGGGTGGATTTGAACTCAGGTTTTCCTGACTCCAGGGTCAGCATCCTATCCACTGTACCACTTGACTGCTTCTAGTTAAATGTAAAGAGCTCTGACTTGAGCTGGCTCAGATGTGACCCATGTAAAGTCACAATCTCTCTGTTCCTCAGTTTACTCATCTGTACATTGTATAACATACTGCCCTACTGAGCTGTTGGGAGGCAAGTGCCTAACTTTAGATTATTATTAAGGATTCTGGGATTCAAACCCTTAAATATGAATATCAAATTTCTGGCAGGGGAACCATTTCAAGGACAGCACAGGCCTGATCTACCCCAGGGCCAGCCAGGTACCAATGGGCAAGTCCTCATGGGCTTCTGCCATCACAACTGTTAGGAAAGTACACTTTGTTCCCTGATGGGCCAGGCCACACACTCCCTGGCACGGAGCCCTGGCTGCTGGATGCCTAGCTTTCCAGACCTGGGGAGATGCCAGTAAGAGCTGAGAAAAAACAAAAGACAAACTGAAGATACTGTTTGCAAGGCTGCAATCTTCTGAGAGGAGCCGGAATGAAAAAAGGCTTCCTCCAGTTTCCTTCCCCAGCTTCACACTGCATGTGCCCTTAGCCTCTAGGATGAGGAAGGGTTTTCTTCTCACTGGTGGAAGGGTTTGCAACAACCTTAGCAAAGACCCTGGGCCCACTGGACTGAGAATCTTGTATGGAACCGCAGCATCTAGGCCTAGGCTACCTGCGTGGGACTTCTGCCTATGCTTAGCTGTAGTATATCACAAGGGCTATTTTTACCCAAGAGAAGCCAGTTTTCTGCTGAGGCGGTAATCCTGGCTCCAGAATCTTACGCTTTCCCCTGCCTATCTGGTCTTCTGAGACTTGAGGGGAGGGAAGATAAAGTACTAGAGATGCTGAAAATCAAGCTCCAGAGGGACCACCCAGGCCTTCCTTCTTCCTAGCTCTTCCTACGAGGCACTTCATCGTCTTCAGAGAAGCCCTGAGGTCCCTGGGCCTAGCTCCCATTCCCTGCTGTGGGGCTCCCAGGAGGATTCCTCCTTCCCCTCCCTCAGGGTTTTTCCTTATGTTGGAGTTGGCTAAAACCCCCAGGTGATCCCTGGTCTGGGGAAACTGCCTCAGAAGAGGCTGGCAGGCAGAGGGTGATGGGGGAACACACGGACCTCAGATGAGCCATCTGCTGCTCGTCTGACTCGCAAGCCGGAGCCCAGAAAGGCAAAGCCCAGTGGCAGTTTGTGGCACACGCACAAACGTCCATGTGGGAGACGCACCGCCCATGCGTGGTGGGGAAGGGTTTGCTAGCTAGGGCCAAGAGGTCACTAGCACCAGCCTTAGCATCTCATCTCCTCCCCAGGCCTCTGAGATTAGTCCACTGTAGGTGAGGATGATAAATGAAGAGGCAATAAGATGATAGATAAACGCTCACTTGTGCAGAAATATATTCCCACCCCCAAAACTCTTCTATGCATATCTGCCAGGGGCCGAGATGAGAATGGACCCTGTATGGAACAGCTTTGGCTCCACTCAAGGCCCTCCCCCTCAAAGAAAGAGACCGGCATGAATGGGCAGGAGGAGGCCTCCCTTTGCGCCCCCTCCCCCCAGCCATCTCTGGCAAGGATCCATTTCCCTCCCACAGAAACTCCTCCACCTTCATTCTTTCACACATTTGCTGAGCACTCTTTGAGGCTGTGGAGGAGGGCTGTAGAAGCCATGGTCCATGCCCTCCCAGAGGGAAGGGTCAAGAATCAGAGTCTGAGGCTATTAACATATCAGGGCTGGGGAAAAGCAGAAAATAAAACAGATCAAGAAGCAACCAGCCCTAGGCCTGAATGACAAACTGGACAGAGAAGTCTCTGAGGACCACACGTGGGAATCCTAAGCAAGTAGAAGCCACTGGTCATTTTCATATTGGGAGTAGACCTGGTATAGCTTAGTCCATTTTTTGGTCTTTTGCCTGGAAGGTGAGAAACCTGGATGTATCTCTCTGCCTGATGTGATAAAAAAAAAATTGCCTAATTCGACATCTATCATGAGTCGCTTTTTAATATTCAATAATAATAGCTAGTATTCATACAGAACTTCCACAGATAGATGCCACATATATTTGATCCTCACAACCACCACCGTAGGAAGAAAACTGCTATTACTACCCTCATTTTGCAGATGGGGAAACAGAGGAAGTTAAGTGACTTGCCCAGGGTAACACAGTTAGTAAGTGGCTGAGGCTGAATCCCAACTCCTCAAGCTGCCTCTAGGCATGGGAAATACAAGTGACCACTGGACTAAGGGTGACAGGACCAAGAATCCCATCCCAGCTCTGCTACTTACAAGATTTTGTTTTTGGTTTCTTCATCCGTAAACCTAAAGGGATTGGAAGAGATGATTTGTGAGGCCCCTTCCAGCTCTGATGGTCTATGATGCTTGTGATTGGATTTATAGGGACCTTAGAATCATCTTGTCCAATCAACCTCTCCCCTCATTTTACAGATGGGAAAGTTGGAAAATCAAAGCTTGGAGGTCATGTGCATTATCCAAGTTCACAAAGACCATCTCAAGAGCTGGGGATCCAATCTGGGTCCTACTGCCCCCAAATTTTGGTACTCTCTCCATTAAACTATAGCAATGTCCTTCCATCTTCATTCGGTAAATGCTCATTGATCATTTACAGCCTGGAAGGCCTCATGCCAGGGCTAAGGGAATGAATACAGAAGTCATGGCTCTTCCCCCCCTCCTAGAGGGCAGAGTTTGGTAAGCTGGGCAGTCAGTAGGTGCCAAGATAGCCACAGCCAGTCTTGTCCCAGCCCTGGTGTGTCAGGAAGGAAGGAAGGAGGGAGGGAAGGGAAAGGAAGGAAAGAGATTTCCTGCCCTGACTCCTCCACTGCACCTTGAAACCATCCCCTTTCTGTGGAGCGAGGGTTTGGGAACGTGGAGCAGGGGGACAGGACAAATAGAAGCAGAGAGACCCTCAGCAGGAAAAGCAGGTTAGGATAACAGCACTAGGGATAGACAACTGCCATGCTTGAATGGATGGGGATTCTCAGGTGGAGCCAACTGCTTCATTTCTCTCAATGATGTGAAGCTCTGTCCCTCTGAGGACCTTTCACATACCACGGGTAGAAAACAGGGACCTGTCTCTGCTTCAGGAAAGACCTAACAAGAGGAAACCTGTGCAGTGTTCCACTAAACAGGCTCGAGGGGAGAAGATCCAGGAAGTGCCCCCAATTCTAGGCCACGCTCTCGCTGTACAGCCTGAGACTAGTCAATTCCCCTCTCTGGGACTCAAGGAAGGGGCTGGCCCAGCTTCTTGTCATGCTTTGACTCTGGAAGTATACCTGGGAGAATGAGGTGAGGACAGAGGGGGGTCAGAATGGGAGGGCAGAATGCAGAGCAGGGGTTCTTTACCTGGTGTCAGTTTTAAAAACATATTTTGATAATTCAATTTCATTATAACTGGTTTCCTTTATCATCCTATGTATTTTTATCTTTAGAGGTATAAAAATACGATTCTGAGAAGGAACTTTACCAGACCTCATGAGGGTCCATGGTTACACACACAAAAGGTGTAGAGTCTAGACTCTAGACCGGTTTTCTCATTTTATAGCAGAAGGAATCAAGGTTTAGAAAAACTAAGGATTCAGTCACAAGATGGTAAATTAGCAAAGCTGAGATTCGAACCCAGGTCCTCTGACTGTAATCTGATGCTTTCTCTGCTACACTACATTGTCTCTCTTGATCACACACACACACACACACACACACACACACACACACACACACACGCTCCCTTCACGAGTTTTCCTGCTGGCCCACAGCACACACTATTTCAAGGGATTGGGGCTCACTCTCCAGGGAAGGGAGGGGATGAGCGCACGAAGCTCAAGTCCCCAACCTCCCTGTCCCATCCATTAGACTTGGTGCCTGGATGACACCCTCTCCTCCTGCCTTACCTCTTGGTTCCTCTGCCTGCTTTGCGAGTTTGCGCAGGGCGGCGGCGAAGCTGGAAGAGGGCGCTGCTTGGACCGACAGGTTGCTGGTGGCTGCCGGGCTGCCATTGGGTACGAGGGAGCCATTGAGAGGAGAAGGGGTCAGGGGGCTGACGGTAGCTGTGGTCCGAGTCGCTGTTGAGAGCATTCCTAGTGAAGGGGACTTTGGCTCATGGCTCATGCCTGAAACGATGAAAAGAAGAAATGATCACCAAGGAGGGGAGGGAAAGGAGGGACCAGTCACTGGGATAACCCCAGAGGCCTGGAGCAGGCGAGGGCGGAGCTGGAAGGAGGAGGCAAGACAGGCATCTCAGAAAAGACCTGGGCAGGGGAAGGGGCTCCCCCCCCCCGGGCGTGTAATGTTCTTTTCAACCCCTCCCCCAGAGATAGCAACACATGGATAGGCAATCTAGCCAGTAATCCTTCTAAAGCTGGTTAGACTCAATTTCCATGGTGGCCTGTGGTGGATGGTCTTTGAAAAGGGGCCATCACTACGACACAACCCCAGCTTATACTGGGGGTAGATACCTGTGGGAAGCCTGTTTGGGGAAGTTCTCCCAAAGCATCAACTCTTAAAGTTGCTCAAAGATCTAGAAAACCCCATCCCTGATGCTACCTCCCTCTGCCCTCTGTTCCACGCCTGGGGCAGGGAGTCCATAACTAGGGTAAGAAGAGGAAGGTTCTGGCTGACTCTGAAGGACACATTCACACTAGACAAGGACTCCCCCTCCCACCAATGCCAGCAGAGTCCCTTCTGCCAGGCCTTGGTCAGGCAACAAAACAAGGCTGATCTAGGCCTAGAATGCCACCCTGGAGATCCTACCACCAGAAATACAGGCCTGATAACTCTCTTACAAGAAAGGTGACTTCAATAGGTTTTGATAAAGGGTAGAGAGAAGAGGCTGGGGTAAGAAAGAAAAAAAAAAAAAAGGAAGTTAACCTAGACCTTCGAAAGCTGTTTGTGGTCCTCTAATGGGGCCCTTACTGCATGCCCACTAAAAATAAAGCACATTAAAAATAAAAACTGGGCCCCACAGAAACCTCATTTCCCCACTCTCGAGCCAAGTTCAGGCTCTGAAAACTTCTACACCAGCTGACGCTCCCGTTCCCACCTGCAGCAAAGGCCTGTCATGGGCTGGGGCCCCGAGGAACACCCCCCCCACAAGGGGCACGAGTTCCCTATTTTCTCTTCCCCATGAGGAGTTCAGAGCTTTCAATTTCCCTTTTAAGTGTCAATGAAAAAGCTGTGTTCTTCTCGTACAATCAATAAAACCTTGGCTCGAGTTCAACCCAGCTCTGTCTCAGCACAAGGAGGAGGACCAGGCCATAAATAAGTTTTCCATTAACATTTTCAGCCACCTGCCCCATTCCCGAGGCAGAAAGGGCAGCCCTGACACTGTCCACCGTCCCCCTCTCCCTCAAGGTGGGTACATTAAACAGGAGTAAATCAAAGGCCTAACGGAGACCACACTCTCAGACATACGCCCAATGGCCAGGACAGTTGGCACTCTCTGGTCAGGCTGCCTACACCGAGAATAAATTAGCTTCCCTCAAACAGAGCCAGAAGCTGCAGGAATGACAATGGTTTAAAACAGGGGAGAGGAGAAGTTATGAACTGCAAGCATCTCAAAAATATACGCGAATGAGTAAGAGGGAAAATGAGCACTCCAACAAGATAAGGAAAGTTGGGGGGGGGACACAACAGGGAGGGCCCCCCCTTGGCTTACAAACAGCCCCTCCCTGAGCAGGTATGCTTCAGAGACAGCCAAGCCCGCCCCAGGTCAGTTCAAAACCACTCTCCATCTTCGAAGGAGAGCCTCTTTCTCAGGGGATTCCCCTGACGCACAAGTCTATTCAAAACAAGTCTAATTGGAACATGCCCCCCACCCCCCTTCCCCTTGCATCCCTGCAGATGAGCAGGCTCAGACACAGGCACCAAACCAGGCCGAGTGTGTTCAAGAACCAAGTGCCTGCCCTGCTGCCAATCCTCCACCCCTCTGTTGGATGGGGAAAAAAAAAAGAAAAAGAAAAAGAAAGACTGCCAGCTTTCACCCACGGAACACAACTACCGTGCAGGATCTGGGATCGGAAGTCAAAGCCTGCCTCCATCTTACAGATGAGGACCAGAAGGGACAGTCACTTGCCCAAGGTCACACAGGAAGCCAGAAGGAAAAGGCAGCATTTGAACCTGGGTCTCACCTTCTCTCCAAGGTTTTCTCCACCCCTCAGTGCTGCCTTTCCTAGGAGATGCCCTTCTATTTATCCTGTATGCATCTTGTTTGAATGTGGTTTCTCTTCCCCAACCCCACTCTCCACTTAGTGGGTGAGCTTCTCAGAGGCAAGGGATGAGTTTTGGCCTTTCTTTGTGTCCCCAGCACTTTGGTGCCAGGCATGTAATAAGTGCTTAATTGACTGACTGGTGGGAGCTGTTCCCCGCCCCCCCCCATCCCTCAGGGTTTCTCTGTCCCCTAAGAGGCACATTTCCCAAAGGCAGGTCAGGAAGAGATGACTATGAGAACCCCGTCCCCCAACACACACACATACACACACACACACACACACACACACACACACACACACACACACACACACTGTTTACTGTTAAGAGTTCTCTGACCACCTTTTTTCCATATTCCCTTAAAAAAAAAATAGGTTCCAAATTGGACCCCTTCCTCAGGCATGAGACAGGGCAGGGGCTGTGTGCCTGCCCCAGCCCTCTTCATTCTGGCAGCAGGACTGATTAGGGAAGCAGGAATCTTGGGGGGGGAGGGTGGAGGAGGGAGGTTTTTTTTTTTAATTTAATCAAGAAGGTCTGGAAAATTGCCGCAGAGTTCAATGGGGTGAAGAGAGAGGGCGCCCCCGCCAGCCACAGAGGCAGGCTGCCCACTGCAAGCAAGCTGGCCGAACAGCTGCTGAGGCATCACATGACCCCGGCCAATCTATAACATCCAGGGCTTCGGGGAGATAACAGTGGCGGTTTGTCAGCAGGCCTGAGCAGCAGGCCCTATTGAATATGTCTGAGGCAGCATTGATCCAAGCATTTGACCCCTCTGTGTCCTCCGTTCTCTCCAGTGCTGAAAGCAGGAGGGGGGCGGGCTGGAGAGAAGGGCTGGGGGGCAGAGCAGGCAGTGGGCCCCCACCAGCAGACTGGAGGAGAAGGGAGTCAGAAAGAGACGTGAATCTACCGTTCTACTACAAGGCTTGCTCTCCCAGCAGCAAATATTAGCCTCAGAGCATCTGAACTGTGACCTGAAACCTCAGAGATCAATTATCAGTCTCGGTCCTACAAAGGCTCAGGGAAATAAAGTCACACATGACCAGAGTCACACAGGAATGTAAACCAAAGTCCTGACTCCACTGCACCTGAAGGAGCCCTTGCTCCTACCCCACCCCCATCTCCAAACCACAATTCCTTGGCTCATAGACAAGATTTGCTTGGCTGGAAGAATCTGTCACCCCTAACCTTCCACCAACCGCCACCCAGCGATACTCCCCTGGATTTCTGCTCAGCTGATTGATAAAAAGCACCTTGGAGATCATTTATCTAACCTGACATCATTTAATGGGTGAGGAAACAGGTCCAATTCGGGCAAGTGACTTAGGCATATGTATCAGGTGGCTCACCTTGAATTTTTTCCCCCTCTCTTCCCCATCTTGCCTACCTGCCCTGGCCTCTCCCTTTCATCACTTGACTCTACACACAGTGCTAGAAACAGGAGGGCTCTTCCTTGGCTAAGTGCTGGGCCTGGAGTTAGGAAGACCTGAGTTCAAATCCAGCCTTACTTACTGGCTGAGTGACCCTGGACAAGTCACTGTAACATCAACTGGCCTCAATTTCCTCATCTGTAAAAATGGGGATCAATAACAGCACCTATCTCCCAGGGCTGTTGTGAGGATCAAATAAAATAATATTTGTAAAGTACTTAGCACATGCACATAGTAGGTGCTATATGTTAGATAAACACACATATCTAAATATCCAAACATTTGAGATATATGTTGTTGTTATAGTTTATAGCTGGTCGAACAGATCCCAGGCAAAGACTGAGAATCTTGTCGCTGCAAAGAAAAAGCCGAGGGCTTTGCAGATGCTGGGGGGCAATGGAGACTGGGATGTTCCCTTTCTCCTTCCACTCTGATCCAGTAAGAATTTAAGCAACCTGTCCCCTTCCCAAACAAAAGGCCAGAGTGTTATCAACTAGGGATCTACCTGGAATGCTAGGGCTGGCTTCAGGTGGGTCCCTTCCAAAGACACCCCCCCCCATCAAATTTCTTCACAGGAAAGTCAATGTCAAACACTTCCTGAGGGCCTATGATAAGCAAGAGTAAAGCTCTTACTCCCCAGAGGCTGGGTAGGGAAGCCAAAACATCCCTATGACCAGGAACGGCAGCTTCAAGAGTAAGGTGAGAATTCCCACGTAAAAGGAAAATACTGCACCTGCAACCACCCTCCCCCCAACACTTACTTGTCATATGACCTTAGGCAAATCACTTAACCTCTGAGTCACTAATTCCTCAATCTGCAAAAGTGGCCTGAGTGATCTCAGACAGTAATAATAATAATAATAATGACAGCACTTTAAAGTTTGCAAGGTGTTTGACAAATATCTCATTTCCCCCCCACAACAACAGAGGGAGGTAGGTCCTATTATTATCACGCCCATTTTACAGATGAGGAAACTGAGGCAGAGAGCGGTCAAGTGACTAGCCCAAAGTCTGGATTGGATTTGAACTCAGGTTTTCCTGACTCCCAGATACATTCTATCCACTACGCCATCCCCTACTTCTGTGTCTTAAGTCTATCAGCTTTAAAGCCTCCATTTCTAAGACAGGGATAGAAACCATCAAGGTCTAGGGGTTCCATGAAGCAGCGGAGTCTCCAAAATTGAGCTTTAAGACAAATCAGTGATAAGAACACTGGCTTTAAGAATTGAGACCTGCGAGGTTCGAACTCAAGGCCAGTCTTTCCTTCCTGAGAAGGCTGCAATTCTTCTGTCCAATGATTCTTTAAGGTCCCTTTCAGATCTAAAACAAATCTCAAGTTCACACATGTGCCTGGATAGCACAGACCTCCCTGTCTACGAGGAATAGATGCCCAACTCTCCCATCCCCAGAGACAGCAGGGGAATGTGCATTAGTGAGCACCTGACATCTGTAACCACAAGTCACACTGAAAGTTTCAC